TGAGTGAATTGCACTTCTTGCTTTTGAAATTCCAGAAAAATTTACACCTCCAAGACGATCGGAACGTCATGGATTTGGTGGGCTACATGAAAAGGCTCGGCCGAAATCAGGTAGGCATAGAAAACGTTATTACTCAGCTCAAGTTTAAGCTGCAAAGGTTTAACGTTGTTCTCCAATGCACGGCCACCAACTCCTGGTCAAAACCGGATCAGGCCTCTACAAGCGCTGATCACAGGGCACATCCAGCCAAAAGAAAATTGTATACGGCATCCTAAAAGACATACGGGCATTCATCGCTGATCTCCAGTATGCTTTCCATCAAGTCGATTTCCAAGTAATTCAATCGATCGTAAAGTACGTAGAAGACGAGAGTAAATGGTAAAAGAAATATTGTAGTTATGTAATAATGTATTTTATTGTCGGGCAATGTTATTTTGTCAGGACCTGGCCAAGACAGTTTCGATAATTTAAAAATATTAACAACTAGTGTAAAAAAATATTCGAATTACATGTTAATTAGTGATACAATGTAATACTTATTACTTATTTAACAAATATATTTAATATTATTCTTAACAAAAAATTATAAAAATACTCGACATTGCTGTAAATGGTTCTTCTAAAATAAAATTAAAAAAAAAAAACGTTTATTATCTAAAGGTTACTCTTGTATGAATAAACATAATAAGCGACCAGGATACACTACACGGGCGGCTGCTGTGTGTACACGTGTGTGCTTGTGCAGTACGTATACTAAAGTTTGGTCGTCAGCCGCAATGGCGACGGTGGTGCAGCGGTAAAGTAAGGCGAGGTGTGAGGTTTCGTTTCACTTGAATTTTTGTCAGGCCTCTAGCCATATAAAGTATTCATGTCAATAAAATAAATATAAATTCAGCCTAAGCATGTACGTGTATTTTAAACCAACATAGTGTTATTGACAAAATATGAGTTCTGTAAATAATGTTTGACGCCCGAGGTTTGGAGCCAAAAAAAAGACTTTGCTGTTTAGTTACGATTCACTATCGAGACTTGGTGCGGATTTTCGACGAAATGACGTTTTCGAAATTATCGCCAACGACAATCGTTTTGAGCCTAGTGGCCTTGTTGAGCCTGATGGCTTCATTGAACCAACCGGTATTGTCGATGAAAACCGGTTATAATTATGGAACGGAGAACAGTCCAACGACGGCAAACCAGTACAAAGATTTGAAATGCACGTATCTTTTGGTCGGAATGACGCACATGCGGCTAGTGAGATTCATTCTAGAGGATAAAATCAATTATATAAATAATGCGGTCTATTTAATTAGCCACTACAACATCCGAGCGGTGATATGCACCCTGTACGGTGTGCCGGACGTGGAAATCGGCACGTTGTGGATTCTACTCTTTTACGTAAACATGGTGCGGCCTTATTACCAAAAGTATATCCACGGCGCGTCGAACGAAGCCGACTGGACGTTGGCCGTGGACAGACTGGTGGTCATCCACGACTACGTGGCGGGCAGAATGCAAAGGGAATTGACGGACGCCGATTGTCGACCCCGCAACCAGTTTGACTCATTTGCAGATCGATGCGCGTGGCTGAGGGCCGCCATGCCAAACGGCCAACCGCCCGACATGAAACTTTTTCACAAGCAGGCGGTTAACAACTGCGACCAGCTGGACGCACTACTGATAGAAAACGACGCAAAATCCACGTACGGAAAGAGGTACAGGGCGTTGGGAACCAGAAAGCTGTTACTCGACAACCTGGCCGACGACAATCCACTCAAGGAAAAGTTTTTGTCCCGGTACAACGTGAAAATCACCTGGGACGAAACTTCCAAATTGCTAAAAGACGAATATGACTGCGTGCACAAATTGTGCTCACCCACTGCTTTAGTTCTCCCCTTGTTTAGCATCAAGAGTTATTACAAAAGGGTCTTCGGTCTGTTAAAATGCATAGCGTACCGGCTGACCTGGAAATTTTTGTACTACATTACATTTACTAATGAACGTCGGGAAGATCTCTTGAGTGAATTGCACTTCTTGCTATCGAAATTCCAGAAAACGTTACACCTCCAAGACGATCGGGACGTCATTGATTTGGTGGTCTACATCGAAAGGCTCGGCCGAAATGAAGTAAACATAGAAAACGTTATTACTCAGCTCAAGTTTAAGCTGCAAAGGTTTAACGTTGTTCTCCAATGTACGGCTACCAACTCCTGGTCAGAACCGGATCAGGCCTCTACAAGCGCTGATCCGGGCACATCCAGCCAAAAGACAATCGTACAAGGCGTCCTAATAGACATACGGGCTTTCATCGCTGATCTCCAGCATGCATTCCATCAGCTCGATTTTCAAGTAATTCAATCGATCGTGAAGTACGTAGAAGACGAGAGTAAATGGTAAACGTTGTGTGTAGCAAGTAGTATTGTAATTATGTAATAATGTAGTTTATTGTCAGGCAATGTTATTTTATCGAGACCTGGCCAAGACCGGTTGGATAATTTAATAATATTAACAACCTATTCGAATTACATGTTCATTAGTGATACCATGTAAACTTACATTACTTATTTATCAAATATATTTAACAATATTCCTATAAAATTGTCAATTTTCGAATTTCTCATTTTTTTTCTTAATATTAATTTTTTATATCGAAAATTCGAATTACGTACGATTTGCGAACAATGATATTTTATTATTTTACAACTACTGCCTGTAGTAAAATGTATTATTTTTTAATAATCGGTAAAATAATGAATTCGCCCATAGGCATAAGTGTTTTGAAACCGACACCGAGTTCAAAAGTAAACAGCCATTTAAAAATATGAATTTTTATTAAATTATCGTACATAAAATTCTCGCCTAGACGTTATAACTCGAAAACACAATTTTTTTACTTTAGAAAAACACTCATGCGATTTGATAGAGTTTCCATTTCTATTATTTACATAAATGAAAATATAGCAATCGATTATATAGAAATTTTGTACGCGTTCAAAACAAAGTAAACATTATTTACATACCTACTAACCTACTCATATTGAGCTTGCGTTGTAACAATGTGCACCTAACCTCGACAAATACAGAGTTTTTAGAATTTCACGTGCCATGTGAACCATTTTTGGCTTTATCATACAATGATATTTTAAGGTCATTATAATTATATTCCCTTTCGATTAGGTTTGGTAGAGGATCTCATCCCTAGGATTTAGCGTTGAGTGATTTTGGAATCCCTTATAGCAACCTGTACATTAATTTAGATTTTTTTTTTGTGTCACTGTTATTATTTACAACTTTAGACAACATTTAAATTTGTATCTTTTTAATTTTATCCTAGAGGATATTCAAACCTTAAATAGTAACGTATACGTTTAATGGACCTTCGAATTCGAATAATTAACTGAAAATGTTGACTAATTGACTACCCTGCATAGTTTAATTTATTGTTTGTATTAAATAAGTATAAACATATTGTTAATTTAGATCAAATAAGCGATTGTATTTTTTAGGGCAGATTTTTTAATTGAACACTATGAGACATGATGGGAAATTGTTGATCACATGACTTCCTCTTATAAGATTTAAAACTAAAATTAAAAATGTTAAAAATTAAAAAACAAGTACCATCTTTCCCTTGAAGGACACACATTGCAATATGAAAATGTGTATTGTGGCGTTCCCCTTCCCGAAAGGTGACGAACGTCCAAATTGTTTGTTTAATTATTCGTATAAGTTTTAATTTTTACCAAAAAGTTACTATAAATATAACAATAGCCTTTTCTAAAAGCTTCATATTTTTACAAATGAGCAGAAAAAAATGTTTTAATTGGTTTTAATATTCACGAAATAAGAGCTATTTAAATTACGAATAATTAGATCATTATCTGTAATAACATAACATGAATATGTTTTAGAGCTGGAAGTCTATCTGGAATTAGCGTCAACAATTTATTAATACAGTAGTAATAGAGTAATAATAAGCATACAATTTATTGTAAAATCGAGCAAAATTCACGGTGTGTGCAAAGCCCTGAACCGAATTTTACCAAAAAGTCTACTAAGTACTAATTAAAACTAAATTTCTGTATTTAATCAATTATAAATATTTGCCCATTCACTATTGTCACTTATTTATTTATAACACTCACATTCTGTGTTACAATGGCCTGATCCAAAATTAAAATGCGCTTTAAAATAAATGTATGAACTTCATTTAAACTGTGCTATCACTGTCATGACAAAATACATATAATATTTTTTGTCATTTAAATACTATTATGCATTATTTATATTTCACTGATGTTTATTTATATTAGTATTTAATTATGTAATTTTAGTGATCAAATAATTTTAGGTAAGATAGGTGATTGTTAAACATTTTTTTTTTAGTCTGTGTCGAAAATACACCTTGGTCAAGTTAGGTACATATATTTGTGGTTTTTGCGGATCAGCTGTAATAGATTTATTACTAATGTGAATTACAAGTTCATGGTAGCAGGCGAGCTGAGCTGAGCTATCTTTTACAATGATAACATTATGTTATTACACCATAAAATTAGTTACGTGATCTCCGCCACTACACGTTATCTTCAATATTAATTATATTATGTTAAAATATTCTAAGCATGTAATGTTTTGTTTTTACTTAGTTAAAGTTTTATAGTAAAAGTATTCGACAAGTGAAAATATTATATTCGTTTAATCTTATGTTTTTTAAGAAAATATTTAATAATTTTACAGTTGACCTTATTTATAATACAAACATTTTATAAGCCTTAGATCTGTAAGCCTAATGTAACTATAACTTTTTATAGCTTAATTTGACATTAAATTCCAAAAAAAATTAGCAGCACTTCGAGTGTATTAGAAGTACACCGGTATTAGCTAATAGTAATAGTTATAATACTAATAGTTGGAGGATAAACTTAATTTGATTATTGATCGCATTAGGTTAACTATTTCAAAAGTAAATTTATGCAAAGAAAGTATTTAAATAATATTAAACGTTTTAAAAATACTCAATCATAGTAAGAGGCCGTTTATTACTTATTTAGTATATTTTTAAACTAAAAACAATGTCAATAAATTCATTTAATTTATAAATACACTAATTCTACATAGATAAATTTACATCTTGACTGCTCAATTATTTTACTCGACTTAAGTTGATTTTCTAGAAAAAAAAACTATATTATTTTTAATATTGTACAAATGATCAAATACGTTAAATTATTAAAACAAAATAAATATTAGGAAAGTTTTAACTTGAAAAAAACAATAAATTAATGAAAGCCTTAGGCATTTATACGATGGCCTTGATAACAGCATCGGTGAATTCGTGAGTGCTGCTTGATCCACCTAAGTCTCTGGTTCTGACCTGAAAAAATATATAAAAATGTCATATTAGCAGCAATTTAATTAAATAATTATAATATAAAATTATTGGCTTTAGATATAATAAAAGTATTGTTGTGGAATAAAAAAATCACTTTATTATTATAAAAGAAAAGTAAGGCAATAAGGTTTTATATAAAGTTGGCGATCTATTTATGTAATTACGGTCGTCGAGCGTATCTTGAAAAATTGTATACACCCACTGTTTTAGCGTTTTTTTATTTTACTTATGGCGCACACTATACTTTACAAAATATCTTACTTTTCCAGCAGCTAAGACTTCTCTAATAGCAGTTCTTATGGACTCGCTATAGTGTTGAAGATTCACGTGCCTTAACATTTTGGATGCACACATTAACATGGCGGTCGGGTTGGCAATATTTTTACCAACAGCAGTTTGGAACACGTGTCTCGCACCCTGAAAATTTAAACATTGGTTTTATGTTGTCCTGAACTTTTAACCCTGACACGGGTTTCGAGTGGGCACAAAATAACGATTTTGTGTGAAAAGTATTGTTGAGATTATATAGAGTTTTTTTGGAGGCTGACTCAAAAATCCTGTCAGGCAATGTAGGGTTACAACAGATTGGTTATAATAATAATTTCATAATTACAGGTTCAAACACAGCACATTCTGGACTGAAGGACGAACTCGCAACAACACCAGCACCGCCAACCAATCCAGCACCTAAATTATCCAATATGTTACCATATAAGTTTGGCATGACTAGAACATCAAACTGTTGAGGATTAGAAACCATCTGCATGGTACAATTGTCCACAATCATTGATTCAAAGTTTACATTTGGATACAATTGTTTGATCTGAAATTGTCATAAAAAATATAAATTAAATTTTTATAAATATATAAGTAAGAAAAAGGCTACATAAAAATTGTTTAATTACCTCGGAACAACTTTTCAAAAATAATCCATCACCCAATTTCATTATATTTGCCTTGTGTACACAAGTCACACGTTTGCGGTTATTTCTGAGGGCATAGTCAAAAGCAAACTTTGCTATTCTCTGCGATTTGGACGCTGTGACGATTTTTAAACACTCGACAACTCCCTAAAATACAAACGAAACATGTTAGTTATTAGTTAAACATATAGTTGTATTAAATGTAAATAAAAATAGAGTTAAATTCAATTATTTAGACAAACTAAATACTATAATTTAACACACAAAATTATACGAGATTTATTTTGTACATGAAATAAATTAAATGATTAGATTAAGTAAAACTTAGTAAAAAAAAACTTAGTTAAAAATAATGAAATTAACTAAACTAACCTCAACAGATTCGTGCTCTAGAGCTGAATACTCTCCTTCTGTAAGTTCACGGATAATTACAATATCAATATTTTTATGTTTTGATGCAACTCCGGGCCATGATACGACATGAACAACATTTGAGTATAAATCTAAACCTTTTCTCAATTTCATGTGCAAATTTTGAAGTTCTCCGGAATAACTCACATCAGGGCTCATCAAGGCTCCCTAAGACAATAATATAACAAAAAACGACCAACGACATTAATGATAAGATAGTGTAATTTTTGAATGATGATTTTAAAATATTCACATTACCATCAAACAAATTCTATTACGGTTAATTGATTTAATGACGTCTTCTACTTTAGCACTGCTGTTATGCTGAACTTCGGAAAACAACATAGTTTCAAAATCGACGGGGACACCAATTGCTTTAAAAACTGTCTTGACGGAATCCATTAACTCAGGATACACACCATCACCAGGAATTAAAGTACATGTTATACGATCAATAGGCAGGTTTGAAAATTTGTCCTAAAAACAAATGTAGAATAAATAAAAAAAATCCTGGGAAAAAGAATAAAAGCTGTTATTTACATCACTCGAGTCATCCGAAGCGTATGCTCTAGCAATATGAGGCTTGGCGCTGATGGGTTTAGCAACATCCTAAACAAAGATAATAATTGTGTTTTCAATAAAAAAAAAAATTTTCAAGAAGTCATATCTTACTAGAGCCGACGGAGTGTGAAGACAAGTTTTGTTTCCAATAATATTTTGAGTAGACTAGAAAAAAGTTAAGCAAACGTTATTAAAAACAAAAAAACAAAAATAATAATTTAATAAACATGATACAATGTTTTCGAATAAGTTCACATTTGATCGTATTAGCTACATTGTTTAAGTCTAGATTCTATAACAAAAAGTACTCACTCGGCTCATCAGCAGCTTCATTCCATTTTTCAGAATCGACATGATGATATACTGAATTTGGTTCAATCTAATGTTTCAAAATCCTTTCAAAAGTAAAAACTGTTCGAAAATCAAAATGTTAAGTAGACAGAAAAATACTATCTAGTATGTGCGAAGAAAATTTTTTACACCCTTCCAGGACCCCAGACCAGGTGGTTAATTTTGGCCTACAATGTATACAATTCTATGCCGACGCTGTCCAATGAACAGAAAGCTACAAAAACTGGCAGAGTAGCAATTGGTTTGCGCATTTGTACAGTGTGTAAAGTACTTAAGGGCCAACAGCTGTAGATAACAATCACTTGATAAGAGCATGATCACTTGATTTATTCTGTGATAAGAGATAATAGGGCATGGGTCCGACACCCGTTGCAAATGGAAATGGGCAATATTAAATGACAAAATAAAACTGATTTTTTATTAATAAATTGTTAAAAAAACGTTTTTTTCATAAAAATGTATATATTTGTACAATAATAATAATACAAAAAATGGACAATAGACGACTACTCATACTGTATGGAAGCCAGACTGGTTGTGCCCAAGAAGTGGCCGAAAGAATTTGGAGAGAATCAAAATGGTATAATAAATTACATTGATATTATACTATTGGATACTTTTTTGTTTTCGCGGACATCGATATGCACTATTTGTGTTGTACTCATATGAGGTATAGTGCTGAAGAAAAAAAGAATATTATGTCTTAAGGGACATTAGGATACTGGTGTAGTTGTAGGATATGCTGTGTGGCAATGAAAATCGTGTACTCTAACTGCGGACACACAATGTCCGTTATAAGTACATGCATATTATTTAGATAAGAGGTCGGTAGCATAGCGTACAGTATACATAGTGCATACCATAACGACTACAGCCACTGCTCGTTGTTTTAGGAAAATAGTTCATTGGCATTGTAGTGTCTTAAATTGTAAATGATAATCATATTTGTGTGTCTAAAACTAGTTCAGAGAACTTGTCAAAATGTGTTGAAAGTCTATTCTTTAACAGGTAAAAAGGTTAAGAGTATTGCAGAGAAATAAATAGTATGTTTGAAAACAAACTTACAGTCAAAATTTAGTAGTCCGCGGCTACATGAAAGACTTATTATTTTTTAATCTACATTTTTATTAAATAATATTTAGGTTATAATTCAAATGGCGTGAAATTTTGAATATTACTATTTATTATTAATAATTACATGTTACAAAATTGTATTTAAAATACATTATATTTTTAAGGTTACATTATAGTGGCCCTGTTGTTGCAATGGATGATTACCCAATAGATAAACTAATTTTTGAAAAAAAAATTATTTTTGTTTGTTCAACCACGGGACAAGGTGACCAACCGGAGAACATGAAAACAGCTTGGAAGTTTTTGCTCAGAAAAAACTTACCTTCCAATTCTTTAACTAATGTAGAGTTAGTGTTTTTCATGATACAAATTTTACATATACATATTTTAATACTGTGTTTCACACTAAATTTTTCATTATAGATTTGCAGTTTTAGGCATGGGTGATAGTTCTTACGTGAAGTTTAATCATGTGGCTAAAAAACTCTATAGAAGACTTTTGCAGTTAGGTGGAAAGCCTTTGTGCAATATTGGGTTAGCTGATGATCAACATGATATTGGAGCGTTTGCTGTAATCGACCCGTGGATAGATAATTTATGGACTGCTTTATTAGAGAAACATCCACTTCCAAAGGAAATGGTCTTAATAGATAGAAATGCATTGCCTCCGCCCAGGTAAATATTTACAATTTATGTGCATTTTTTTTTTTTTACAAACATTTTTAAATATTATATAAACAGTTAATTTTTTTTCTTTTAGATGGAGAGTTCAAATTTTAAATGACGATGATAGTTCTAGCACAAACAATAAATTACCAAATGCTGATTTGTTAAAAACAAATTCTACAACATTAAATTGTTTATCAAACATAAGAACAACAGCTTTGAACCATTTCCAAGTAATTACAAAATTATATTGTTTTTGTGTGCATAATAATTTAACTACAAGTATTGTTTTGATAAATATGTTGTTAGGATGTACGGTTAATTAAATTTGAGTACACGGAAAATAGTTTAAAGTATTCCCCCGGAGACGTATTAATGGTGCGTCCAGTTAATTCTGAAAACGCAGTTAATAGTTTTTTTGAACTAATGAAAGAAAATCTAAAAACTGAATTGAATAGAAATTCTATGATGACTGTCGTTCAACAGAGTCCTGATATGCCTGTACCGTATAATTTAAGTAAACCGTTCACTTTGTATCAGTGTGCTAAAAATCATTGGGACTTAAATGTAATTTTTTAAAAATTGATTTTTTCATTTGACTCTTTATTTTGATGCAAATAAAAAAAAAAAATGTTGTGCAGATTATTCCAAATAGGTATACTTTTCAATTATTGTCGTATTTCACTAATAGTGAGCTAGAAAAAGAAAAACTTCAAGAACTCACAACAGCCGAAGGACAAGAAGAACTGTATAACTATTGTAACCGACCAAGAAGAACAATTTTAGAAGTATTGTCTGACTTTCCTCACGCTCTGGCTAATATTCCTTTGGATTATCTGTTCGAAGTATTTTCTCCTATACGACCAAGAGCTTTTTCAATCGCTTCAGCACCTTCTGTGAGTATTGTTTAGTTTGTTAATGTTAGTTAATTTATACATTAAACTGTCATAGGTGCATTTAAATGAAATACACATACTAGTTGCGGTTGTCCGGTATAAAACCAAATTAGTAGCCAAGAGATTCGGCTTGTGTTCAAACTGGCTTGCTGGCCTTGTAAGTGGAGATAAAATTCCAGCTTGGATACATAAAGGAACATTCAAATTCCCATACAGTCGAGTATAGATACTAAACGTTAAAATAATGGTTTGTTTTTAATTACTATGGAAATGTTCTAGTCCTGTAATGTTATTATGATTGGCCCGGGCACTGGCGTTGCTCCATTTCGAAGTTACGTGTATGAATCAACCACCAAAGGAAGTGGAGATGCCGAAACGTTGCATTTGTATTTTGGGGCGAGAAATCGTTTTGGTGATTTTCATTGTGTCAACGATTGGGAGAAATTGGTGGACGACGGAAAACTTACATTGTACACTGCATTTTCTCGAGATCAAGACCATAAAGTGTAATATATTTTTTTTTTAATCTCTTTAATATAATTACATAATCATTTATTGTGTGTACTCGTTTGTTTTAGTTATGTGCAACACGTCCTAAACAACAGAGGTCAACAATTATACAAGCTGTTGACAAGTCAAGAATGTTTTGTGTTTGTCGCTGGAAATGCAAAAGACATGCCTGCGGCAGTTAGAACGGAATTTTCAAATGTTTTTATGAAGTACGGAAATTTGGACAGTGTAGAATCGGAAAAAACTATAGAACAGATGGAACTTAAGGGACGTTATCAGACTGAAACGTGGAGCTAGTATTTTTAAATGGCATAATATACTTGTAGCATATTGTTATAATAATATTGTCTTTTGTATTCGATGTTTAATGTATTTAATGTTGTATTCGATCGAGGTTTATCCGTAGTGTAATAAATATTATAATTTTTATAAAATAAAAAATATGTTTTGCGACAAATTATTACGTTTGTTAATCATTAATTTGGTTTTAAATACTTTTTATTGTCTGTAGAAAAAGACAAAAACTATGCCAAAAAAAACAGCTGATTTAAAAAAAATTGGTTATAAAAAGTATACATTTATTTAATTTAAAAAAAATGTTCGGCAGGTAAGTTTAATATCTATTTTATGACTAGAATTGTAATATGAGACATATTATAAAGTTGAAAATAAAGTAAAGTGAAAAATCATAACATACAATTTAATGGTAAAATGGTCTCTTACAATGCCTGTATATTACATAGGTACTTAAACAATTAGAGACAGGTGGTAACATTGTTTTCATAAAAGGTAAGATTCATAAACTTAAAATGAATTACTTAATAATAGATTTTTTTTCTCTTAAAAATATGTAAGAATAAATAAAATATTTGGTTGTACACATTTAGAATAAACAACATAAAATATAACACAATTTATAACTAGAAGATAGGAAAAAAAATATATATTGGTACATTTTATATAATAAATTATTTTTTAATATACAAATTAACAAGTAGATAATGTTTTTGAACTTGAATTTATAGGATCTGTAAAATAATCTAAGTTGTGTTTTTTCAAATGTTTTACTAAAAATGTTTTAATGTTAATACTACTGTTAATGTAATACTACTTGGGTACCTACATATTAGATATTATAATAAATACGTTTATAAACTTTAAACAAATTAACAAAAAAAAATATATATATAATGGATTAAACCAACTGGTGTCTAAAATGGTATCTTTAGGTATTTATTTTTTTATCGACGTTCATAATATCTTATGTTCTAGGTAAAAATTTGAAATACAAAAATTTAAATAATACCTTTACAAAATGATTATTTTTTATACATTTTTTTGTTTGTAGAAAACAAGTAAACAAGAAGTAAAATAAAGAATTTTCCAATCATCAAACGGACAATCATAATTATAACAAGTCGTTTTGAATGCAATGTTGGTAGGTATTAAAAGTTAGGCACATTTTTTATTACTTAAATTCAATTCATATCGAAAGTACTATTTAATTTAGATAATAATTGTAAACCAGCTAATTATTATAATTTTTGGAGTTACGTTGAACAAAACATTAATATATTAGTGGTCAAACTCAATACATGCACGCTTACATGCATAAATAATAGATTAATTAAAACAATTATCCAACCAGACCGACTTGGTACAATATACAAATTATATATAATATATTAGTTACGATGGGTACTAAAGTACGCAGTTGAAACGTAAAAAAATAGGTATACGTATATATATATATAAATTTTGTTTTGGCCTATCCCAAGCCAATTTACTATTTAAGTTAAGAAAGCCAAACCAGTCATCACAATTTATTAATTCCCCCTCAAAAAAAATCAAGTATTGTAAAATATTCGTTTAGGGATAGGCCAAAAATATATATTTTTTCTTTTAGATAGTTTATACTACAAAGAATATTTTAGGGGTGTAAGAGCAAAGCTTTTAAAAAAAAATTCTTAGACACTTTATTATATCTTACGTTTATATTATATTTCTTAACAATTGTTGTCGGTGTTTATATATATATATATATATATATATATATATAAAATATGCCGATTCATTGATAATGTAACTCTCGGAAAGTCGGTAAGCAAATTAGGGTAAAATAAAAAACTAATTTTAGTTTTTTTACTTTTGATTCAGAGGTTTTTTTCATATCTTAAGTTAAACAGAGTAGTTGGTAGCTTAGGAGTTATATGTCAGTTGAGTTTTAAAAAAAATGTGGAAGCCATTTTAAATTGATTTGTTGAATTCAACATTTGCCTAAATAAAGAGTAAGTATAGGCACGGTGAATTTCTCTCGGGATTGTTTATAAGGACAACGACGCCATTATTAGCATCATTATCGTCGACACATAAAGCCACCATGACAAATCGTTTCCAGCTTCGGCCATTGCTCCTCTAATAGATGACCTCAATCAATGCCAGTCTATAAATTTCATATCCAATATAGCTGCTGGCTAAGTAATATTGGCTAGGTTAAATTTGCATAATTAACTCATTTGTTTTGATTCAAAACATGTTTTTGTTATGGTATGCATGAAACATAATAAAAGAGCGTTTTAATTACAAAATATATTATTTTCTGGTGGCAAAGATGATTTTCAATAATTATGTTACATTAATATAAATATCGATGTAAGTTATTTTCTAGAGACCACTCTATAAATATGTAATACATGATAATACAAACTATAAAATATACCTGCAGGACCTCATACAATAGCTAACGGGTAATAGGTTTTCTTTCAAGACGACTTAAATTCATCGAAATAATAACTAAGGGAATTGGCGTGGTCGTAATATTATGTCCTGTAATTACGTTAATAGGAAATACTTCTTATTTCTCCAATGCAAGGCTGTTGTTATCTAACTACATATACTACATACATTTCTACTGCATGAGACCATAAAAAAATACAGTATTTCCGTTTAAAAATCGATTTTGATCGGTGGTACGCGTCAGACGCAATAAAGTGTTAAAGGAACGAGGGAGTTTCCTAAGTGAATGAGAATTCGAATTCTCCTTGGTGGGACCAAACTCGTTTCCGGTGTTGATCAATATTTTAAACCCTAGTCGACGGGGTCTCGTTGTCTATGGCCAGCATCCTTTGAAGTTTGTGTCGTTTGGTCTCCACTCCGGATACCTAAAAACAAAATAATTAAAACAATATTTTATTAAATAGTCTGAATACTAATAGTTATTTGAAATAGTTCAATAAGGAATACATTATGGGGAGTACAATTTTTATTCGAATTAATTGCCACATTTTCAAATTGTTATTCAAATAAATAATTGTTAAAATAAATGTATATTCCATTAAAAAAATCGTTCTTATGATTTTTCATAGTTCATTTAAGCTATTTTGACTTAAAAGCTATTTAAACGATACGGTTTGATTGAAACAATTTGAATACTTTTGTTATTCAAGCATAATTGTTTCGAATAATTTCCAACTGTCTGTTTGTAACAATAAAATACAATTAAAAATTTATTTGAGTACTTCTTGCACGGTTATTGAGTGTCGTATTTTAAATTTAAAACATAATATGTAAATTTGTGTTGTTTTTTTGCAACTCGAAGGAGAAGAGTTAAACATTTAAACTATTTATTTCTTTAATTAATATTAACTCAAAATCAATAACATTTTATTTAGATGCTTATACCTTCGAGTTACTATTATTTCCTCTAAAAATTTGTTAAATGTAATATAAACTCTATATTAGTTAAAACTAAAATGAATATTAACAACCGTTTATATTTTTAGGGGTTTTAAAATATTTTGGTTTTAGTGTACTTGGGTGACGGTTTGTATCAAAGCAGTAACGCATATTCAACATTTTTCCGGATGGAATTGCTAAATGTTAGGAAACCATACAGCTAATGGGCCACTAATGAGTCATCATCGGGTTTAAATAAAATTAACAACAATATTACAATGAATGAAAATCAAGAATTATAAATTATGTATTGCAATATTCGGACTGTTTTACCAGTTCTTATAATTGCGTTATTTTAGCTATACATATATACATATATATATATAATATTTTCTTGTATATATATTACATAAATATTATATTTTCTTTGTTTAGATATGAAAAGATATTTGTAAAAAAAACGTGCTACGGAAAATCGTAAAAGTTTTGTACAAATGATAATTTCTTTCATTTTTTTTTTTTTTAACTACTTTGTCATTGTGATTTATTTCCTAAAACACGTGATACGGCTATTGCATAAAATGATGACATATCGATAAAATTTGTTTATAATATAAATTATATATTTTTTATGGACTCTCGTCGCTTCGATTTATTTTCCATAAAACGAGGTATATTTTTATTCAACTTTGATGTATAACTTACAATATATATTGCTGTGCTTCGTTAGTTTAAATTATTATTATATTATATAATAGTCAACGCTGGTTTACTATGTAATTGTTGACATGTGATTTTGGGAAAGTTTTTAAAGTAAAAGTTTCATGTAAACGGTCAAAACGACCCGACTAACTCAAAATATTATTTTAAGGGATGCAAACACAAATATATAGCATTATGTTTGTTATTCAAATAGTGTTTCTTTATTCTGCGTGTATCTCAAGCATCAAGAAAACCAATAGGGGAAAAACAATATATATATTTTTATTAATGTGCTCTTGAAAAAATATTATAGCACGACAAGAATTATTATGACAAACTATATAAACTTAGAACAAAGCACAGCGCAAAAATCACTTTGATGAGAGAGCAAACTTTTTCTGTTAGAGTTTAGAATTAGGCAGTCTAAGAGAATGTGATTGAAATTAAATAGGGAGATGAGTTTAAAGAGAGACGGAAGGCATGAGCGGGCAGAAGGTTATGGTACCAATATAGTTGGAATCAGCTTACAACTTACAAGATAAAAGATTGGTATTTTTTTATTTTACTTTAAAATCATATAAGAATGTTGTTATTGGTTTATAATTTAGCAAAAAAAAATATCTTTAATGATCCAAAAAGACTCGCTGCATACGAATCTAAAACCATATTCGGACTCGGCCAAAAAAATCTGATTAAAATCAATGGCTCTATGAATGTAATAAAACATGTTTAAATTTATCTTGTATAGTGTTCTGTAAACATCAAGCATGAAAACATTTTTTTTTTAATAAAATAATATATTTTATAAAAAAAAACAGTTGTCAAGCCAGCTGGAAAATAGTTTTACAAGACGTCTTATTGGTAAGTTAATCCTAGCGATAAACATTCGGCTCTCAAAAATTTTAACTAATGACCGGCAAAACAATATTCAGCTACCTCAATAAAATATCTGAGGGTCATTTCCTATACCTCCTCCCCCCTCGATTTCGTCATTCCTTATGGTAAAAAATAAAACGAAAAAAGGGATTTGAAAAAACGCGTCTTAGATCAGTTGGTTATGTCGATGTGTCGACACGTCGTCTTATAAATAAAACATGCGAATAGTACATAATATATAATTGCCTGGGTGTGTTTTCATATCATAATTTCAAAATTATACTGTTACTACGATTCCATAAAAGTTGGGTACTTTTTTTCGTTGCCTTTAAAAATATATATTTATTGCGGCAAAACAAAAACCTTTAAAGAAAACCCAATTTGTACGGGAACTCTGGATTATTGTCTTCGGGGACGAAGTTGTCGTACACGCTTTATATTGTTTTTTATTAATTTTTTATGGAACAGGTTTGGTCCAAAAAGTTAAACTTTAGGTAAATTAAAAATAATTGTTTTACTTGAAAAAAATTATAAAAAATATTTTTAATTCTTGTGTGCACTATACTATTTAAATTTGTGAATATCAATTTTTCAAATCTGTTCTCTAATCAAAAGTAAGAATTTTGATTGAACAAATTTGACCCTTTTCATAAGTGCAAATCAGTTATCCAACTCTTTTCATAAATGAAATTACTAAATCATAAACGGGACTGCGTGCAATAGAGTGATGTAAACCATAACTACTTTACCAATATTTATTTTTTTATGACTTTCAAACAAATGTATAAATCATTAATAGGGACTTGTGTTGTAAATGTCTGAATGGCCATAATAAAATATGAACTATCATACTAACTCGACTCCTTTCAAAAGTAAACGATATGCCAATAGCCACAGAACATATTTATTGAAAAAGTAAAATAATTTTCAACAAAGTTGTGACCCTAACACGTAAATAAACGATTCATTTTGTATATTTAATTATTCCGGTAAACAAACACTATAGTGTGACACGAGACGTTTTATTATTTTAAATCAGTGATTTTTCACCGAAACTCCCGCCAGTTGTGTGCTATTTTACACGGTTTAGAAGAGGTTTAGGGTTATCCCATTGAGGTTGTTGTCCCTTTATTTGTTGGTCGCTGTATAACATATCATGTTATCAGTGTGTACACCAAAGCGAAGGACGGAAAGTTTCTATAATATACAGTTTTGCAGAGGAATTTTCGACAACCGAAACAAAGTAGTTGGAATTGTTGGAAGTAACAAGTTACCGGCTGTAATAAGTATTACTATCTATCGGTCCATACGTTGTTATTTAATTTTTAATGAGTATATATGTACTACATCCGTGCCAGGTCGAACGGTACACGGTCGCAACTCACTATAAATCTCAGAGGTATCGAATGGAAACACGGTACAAGTACAAAGTATGTGTGTGTAATGTAATATTGGATATACATTTTTAATTTTTTTTTTTCGTTACACCTGGCCAAAATAGAGTTTCCGCCTTTATATGAAATCTAGAGACGGTACATTGCGTGTACGGTTGATAAACAATTTACAACAAATTTTCTAGTGTTTGTCCGACGACCGCGCCAGAGGGACTCTCTTTATACAACCGTTATATTAATTAATTGTTGATTTAACTAATTAATTGATGTTTGCCCGGGAGATGCCGTTCGGTGTAGCAGGTACTTACAGCATGATAAAAAAAACGCAGTCAACACACTTGCGCTGTGTAGTAGATAATTAAATGCAATTGTGGGCGAACTTCGAAATCGAGTTAGTACGTCTCCGGTAATGATTTCCATTAATTGACTGTAAATTATATTATTATGTATAACAGAACAAACCACTCAGCATCCAACAATAACACCCCGGAGCTACGAAAAACACACACTCAACGCGGTTATTAACCTTGGGAGGGTTGGGTAAAATTTGTTGTTTTATCATGAACATAATTATGATTATTATGTTATATTATTACCCGCCGGAGAGGGACGTTCTTTGTTTTAATGAACATTTTGTCTGACTCGCAGAGCCGCGGCCTACAATAAGAATTATTATGATGGTTTATTTAAAATAGATAAGGGCTTGTTTTTTTTTTGTTGTATAGCCGCCACCGGAAACTGACACTTTGAAACCGACTTATTGACGTTAATTTAAGATTTTTAAATGTCACAGCGACCCGTAAAATATTGAATTGTTTTTTTTTGCTAATACAAAAGCGTTCTTCAAAAGCGTTTCAAAAGTAATGACTGATCGTTACAGGTGAGGTGATCAGAAGAAAACAATATTATAACTCGTGTTAGAAGCGTGACATAACAAATATATTTTATGTAACGTAATTTTCAAATTGACAAAAACATTCTATGGCTGGATCAATATTTGTCAGTGTTGTCGCATCTCCTGTAATTCAATTTCTGTCCATTATTTCTATTGGCTAATATTTGACCAAGTTGTGATGTTGTGTGTGTGTTTTGTATTTGAATACATTTTGCACAAAGGATAGTTTAAATAAAATGCAAAAAGTCGATAATATATTTTAATTATAAAGGAACACCTGACGTTATATAAGCTTGTACACATATTGATATTATACAGGTATACGTTGATGTATATGTTGTGTCAACAAACGGATTTTCACATTGAATTTGATTAATCTAAAGTATCGTGTACCGAAAGTACCTAACTTAATTTTATTTCTGTATGTAGGTCATGGAGTTGAATGGATTTGACGGGTTTCTCGGTATTACATTGTTGGCCGAGGTATTCATCTATTAATGCAATTTCACGTTGGGGAAATGATTTGGCAAATCGAAAGATTTTCAATTTTTCATCAAAAATAAATGATTTTTCCTCTGTTACACCGGCGGCGACGCGTTTTGTATTTCCAAAACTGAATACATTGAACGTTTGTAGCACAGAATTATTTGTATTCTATTATACACTCGAAAGCAACAGTCAAAATAGAATTAAAAAAAAAAAGGTAATTTTTAAATTTCCATTACAAAGCACTGGCAAGTCGTTGGATCACAATTTTTTTCACGAGCACGTGCCATTGATTTCTGGTAATTTACAATTTTAGAAGTCACTAAAATAATTGTTGTAAATAATAGTATTTCCATTGGTATTTTTTAGAGAAAAAATGAGCTTTACAATTGAAATATTTCTTTTTTTTAATTGTCGAACAGGAGTGATACTTTCCTCATCTTTTTTTTTTTTATCTTCGTGTGGATTTAATAAAAAAAAATTATAGTTACATTGTATCGGGCTATTTTATAAGTAGTAATAATGTCACACGGATAGAATGGTTTTGGGGTACCACGATTTCCCAAGGGAAGTTCTTTGTAAACGTATTTCATGATGGAAAAAGTTGGACGTTTCAAAAATTATACCACTCTTTTTTTTTTCTAAGCTAGCCATCTCGCTCGGGAAGGGCTTTAAAAAAAAATGTATGTTTTATGTTCACCTACTGCACTATATGTATATACTTATGAACTCGTCGACGCAGATAACTGAAAATGTATTGATTGTTAGAATGGTGAGTTTTCTTTTGGGTCTGTAAACAGCAAAACATTTTAACATAACCACTGTGGCCCTACAGCGTTATAGGCATTTTGAATGCAGCTATTATAGCGCACCAATCAACGGCATACGATCAAATATCGCAACACGTACACACATACATACGACAGGCTTTTGTAAGTGGGCATATGTCAACTGCGCCGAAAATTCAGGCTATAAAAATACAAATTATGAGATAGAAAAAAAGTATACATCAACTGCGCCGATCGATAGTAGAATGTTATAAATTGTTGTATGTCAATTGCGCCGATCGATTTCTAAATATATACAAATGTTCATACTCGTACGTGGAAAACCATTATTTTTATTTGGCCAAATATTAAATCCATTTATTATATAAATCCGTAGTGTTATTCTGTGCGTTGTTCGTATCGTTGTGTCTCGTGCGTGTGGCGATTATTTAGTAAGTTTAATAGTAATGGAAGTAATTTTGAGTGAACGTGGTAACGAACTAATTATTTACCAAAATTATAAATTCCCATGTAAGGAACTTACTAAAAAACGGCGTAAATGGCGGTGCGTGGAAAAGAGGTGCAACTCTAAGCTATAAATAGACGAGGGTAAAACTATAATTTTAAATGAAGAAATCAAACACGATCGTCCTCCTCCTAAGATCTTTGAAAAGCAAATGATATCCAATCAAGTGAAACGAAAAGCAACGGAATATTTAATAGAAAAGCCTTTAAAAATAATAAATAACGAAATATTATCTAATGAATCAACAAACAACCTCAAAACCGATGATATATCAAATATAAAACAAAATTTATATAGAGCTAGACGGAAAAATATTCCAACATTGCCTAAAAATTTGAGAGAAACCCGAGACTCTTTAATTGACGTTACAACATTTACGAACAAAAGTGAAGAATTTTTATTAATTAACAATTTTGAAAATAAAATAACGGCATTTTCAACGGTAACCAACTTAATGTTTCTCTGTAGTCAAGAACAAATATTTATGGATGGGACATATTTATAATAGAAAATTAAACTAAGAGAACTGTTGTAAAATTGTTTTTACTTAAACTATTATTTTTTGATATACTTAAATGTCTCTGGCGCAGTTGATGTATATCTTTTTAGTATACCTTTTTTCCGCCGGCGCAATAGATGTATATAATACAGGTAGTTGCCCAAAATCGGCGGAATTGACGAATACCGTTGTAAGTTTTATCTTTGCAAACGGTTCGAAAAGGTATGAAAATCATTGGAACATGGTTTTGGCGTTTCCCGTGTCCGCTGCTCGCTACCGTTTTGTAAAATGACAAGAAAAGATATCACATTTTCGACCCGTTGAAAAGCTCAAGTTTTTCGTTTATTCCGAAATGTTTGAACTAGTATCCTTACTCGTCCGGCGAGATGCTTAAATGGCAGAAGTAAAAATTGTGGTCTTCTAAACGAGTCGGGTAACCTATAAGCGATCGTCGGGCAAATAGCACTCCAGCGGGTTGGGTTCGTCGTGGGGAATACCTCAGACCTGTTGTCTAAATACACGAAATTCCTCACCCTTTCCACGGGTAAACTCCCATCCGTCAATACTTCGACTCCGGCAGCTTAGCCGATGTGCAGATGTGCTGCGAATATCTTTTATCCTATTACCAAACTCTTGTCCGGTGTCTGGGGACATTTTTGTTTTATCCAAAGTTAGTTTTGAGAGGTTATCCCCGGTCTCACGTACTCGCAACAGCAAACGAGAGCCCCTCCCCTCTCTCTCTCCTTTAATATTTATCTATTTGTTGTTTTTCTCTACCGGGTGAGTTCGTGCAATGAAATTGTACTCTTTTTTTTTTTTTTTTATGCGGCCAAGACATGTTTTTCATATTATAATGTAGATAATAACACCGTGTATTACTTTGAACAAGACGATCCGGTTGTCGTTGTTGTTGTAGTGCTTGGGCGTGTTGGGTTCGCTGGAAGGTTTGTTCTTGTTGGCCAGCAAAGGATAGTTACTGCTCAAAGACGAGTCCGAACTCTGCCTGCTGCAATACTGACACCGGCGCTGGGCCAACCGGAAAGTCACGCTCTCGTAACGGGTGCACCTTTCCGTTCCGTTTATCTGCAAGGAAAGATTGAAAAAAAAAACAACATTATTGATATGTCTTGTGGCTGGGGGTCATCCTGAATTCGATCGCAATAGTCCGTTATTATTATTACCACAGATTAGATAAAAACAGAAAGCGCACTTCATTGTAAGACAATAGATTTTCAAAAAACGATTGGTTTACTCTTAATGCAGTAGGGTCAAATCATAATGCCGAACATATTGTACACACTACTACAATAACAACGTAAACTGATAAGAAATACTTGTTGATCAACCATTATTTATGGTGATAACATATAACAAATGATTGATGATATTTCTTTGATCACACGTCTGTATAACACGGGGATTATTTTTTTCATTCTTAGGGGGCGCTGGCCTGAGAGTGTATAATTTCTGTTTTTTGATATTTTCAGAGTGCACTATCTGGTTTTATCTAATCTGTGTTATTACTATTAAGTATCCATCAACAACACTGATATGATTATCCCGCGGCCAAGGGTCGCGCACGTAGTGTATGTTTTACATTATATTATAGTATAATATTCAAGCTGTTGGCGGCGGCGTCCCGGATAAAATGCGGTTGGCTCAGGGTTATTGGGGGATAGGCCACAAGGCTCGGGGAGACCGTTCCCGGGGGGAATTCAAAGGAATACCGACTCTTAACGGCACGTGTTCCATGCAACCACAACGCAAACCGCCTTGGTTTTGTTTCGCCTGACCATGCACCAAAATCCCACGTTGCACAATACATATTTTATAGTACGGAGTACAGTCTGAAAAAAAATTGCACGAACCAATCTCCTCCTCCCCTTAAAAAATGAATTTGTTCTTCACCGGAACCTTGAATGCATTTGGCCGTTACGGCTATTAACACTCGAAGCAGTTCCAAAATATTAATGAAATTTAAAGTAAGAAAAAAAAAAATACTAACCGTTGCTTTGTACATTAAGAAGCTGAAAAAGTAAAGTTTTCTAACTAACCAAACACAATTTTAAACTAACTAGTAAAACATTTTTTATTCTGGTCAGGCGGCACTGCTGAGAGTCTTCCTATTCCTACATTTTTGAATATTGTCACTGTATCTTTGTCATCAGACTTGCTGATTATACATATTTGTATAGATTGTAAATAAAGAAAATTGTTTAATAATTAAAAAAAAAACTGGTGTTTTGCAGATGAACTATACTTCTACTACTAAGTTAAAAAAGGATTAGAATTGAACATAATTTGAGTTATTAACATTATCTATACGGGAGAAGAAGAATCAAGTACAAAGTAGTTTGTTCATCGAAAATTTAAAAACATGTTTTTCTAAAAAAAAATTAGTAAAAAGTGAACTAAAAAGTAAAAAATAATTTTATTACAAGAACAATTTACCAATCAATTGTAGCATATTTTATTTAAAATGTCAATTACTTTGAAAACAACAGAAAATTATCTACAATTTTAAATAATGTTAAACATCTTTAATTTTTTACTAAAAAGAAAAGCGTGGGCCCTATTCAACAAAGTCCAAATTCATCGAGTTAAGTATAATGAAATGTATGTGTCACACACAAATATTAAACTAAACTTAAATTACAAAAGAACTTACAATATAAAACATTATCTGATAAATTTATTAGAGACTTTGTTGAATAGGACCCACGCTTTTCTTTTTAGTCAAAAATTAAAGATTAACATTATTTAAAATTGTAGTTAACTTTCGGTGTTTTCAAAATAATTGAGATTTTAAATAAAATATGCTACAATTAATTAGTAAATTGTTCTTGTAATACAATTATTTTTCACTTTTTAGTTCACTTTTTACTAATTTTATTTTGGAAGATTTGGAAAAAAATGGAATTTTAGTGATGTGACCCCCACATTTGACCCTATGTAGGGCGACCTACACATCCCAATATGATTACAGGATATTGTATTGTCATCTAAGATGAGTGTGTGTGCCAAGTTTCAGCCCTATACGACATCGGGAAGTGGGTTAAATTCAATGGCAAGATTTGAAAAATACCCGTACAAACGTACGGACGTGTTAGCGAGCTAAAGAAAAGCATGTAAAAATATAGCACTGCATGTCTTATCCTGTTTACAATTTTAATGACTTTTTGAAATCTGATGCAAGTACAGTTAATCGCAAAGCGCGTGCTACACATTTGTCTAAAAGTCCAAACAAACTTTGGTGATTTATTGCAAAAAATATATAAGAACAAAAAAGGCCCATAGATTTTTCTATTTATTTGACTTTTAACTGCACGTGCGTAACACTATGGCAAAATGTCTTTTAAACATACTTAGATTATAATTTAGAAATTGAAATATACACAATGTACAAGCCTAGTATTACAGTCGTCAAGTATATTTTTGTAATATTTGTATAGTATCGAAACAACGGTATAGCTTAATCTAACTGAAGTCTAAACCTTATCTAACCTAATCGCATGTGCAGTATCAATTGAAGTGATAGAAACCCAAAATGTACAAAGAACTATTTTTAAGTTAACCAAAAAAAAAAATAAAAAATACTACTCGACCGATCGAGCTAACCATTTTGTTTTGTTGGCTTTATTTTTTTTAAAACATTTTTTTTTGCGTGCCCCTTAATCATGTGGCATGTGCAGCTGCCGGGCGTACTTATGTTCTACGTCTGACCGTAGTGATCACCCCGAGCTAATACGGCAATTTAGTGAGCTGAAATTGACTAGTGGTTGTAGTGTCCAGTAAAGACTAAGCTCGAGAAAACCAAAAAAAAAATAATTCTTGAGGTATCGTTTTATAAAGAATTTACCAGATACTTTAATAATTGTTAGGTAACAAAAAAAAATACCGTTTTGTGTGCAATTTTCTAAGAAATATTATTTTAAAATTAGATTTGTTCAACTCGACGTTCGACTACTTAACGTTGAGTTCAAAAAAAAAAAACGGTTATTAAAGGCGCGTGTTGTTTAAACGTGTTGCTGCATTGACTCTTGCAAATTAAAAACCATCAAGCGTTTAAGTTACGCTGCTTTCTCTGGTCCCTTGATTTTTAATCTTTAAACGAGTGGGTACACAATGTAAAACTTGTTTAAAAACGCTTATCTGTGAGTTTTTTTGCTATAAAAATACATAAATTTAACGTTGAACATTGTAATGTATATATTTTTTTTATATAAAATACTTTCTTCTTATTTCTCTTGAATACTCAAAATACTACAGTAGTACACAATATAAACGAATAAGTTTGTTAAGTTTTAAATACTATGACGAAACCGAAGTCATCAGCTTAATAATATTTTATTGTTGAAAACAAAACAACTTATTTCCGATGACGTTGCTCGTGAAAAAAAATAGTGTCAAATTTTTTGTTCTTTAGTTTAACAGAAGCAGTTGCAAGTTTTGTTTTTTAAAACAATCTTTTTTTTTTTATCAAAGATATTCTATGGTACAATTTAGTCTAAGATTTTGTGTAAAATATACACTTATTAGCCTTAAGTGCGTCTTCCAAAATGTCTCACAACACAAGTAATATGCGTAGAAAATATTAATGGTGAAAATTGGCGGAATCAACTCACGGGATTGTAAGTGGCGACGAAATCGGCCGGCGGCGGCGTGATGGAGTCGAACGAGTGTTGGCAGTCGACGGACGACATGTGGAAACTGTGCACGGACACGCTGTCCATCTGATGGGCCACCAGACGGCCGTGCTGCTGGTAGCCGCCCGCTTTGGCCACGGCGGACGCCCGGAACCGCTTGCGGCCGCACACCACCCGCAGGATTTCCTTGCGGAACACGTCGTTGCGGAACACGTACACCAACGGGTTGAGCGTGGCCGCGGACAGCGCGCACGCGTCCACCAGCTCGTCCGGCAGCCGGACGATGGACACGCTGAGGAACAGCGGCGTCCAGCTGAACAGGTACGTGACCAGCACCATCATCGACGTCTTCATGGCGCGGCTCTCTTCGCGGAACAGCAACGCCGAGAATATGGCGTTCGAGTTGCGTCGCGACAGGTCCGGTTCCGTGCACACGCTGTGTTTGCGCGTCCGCAAGCTGTTCCTGTGACATTCCAATTAACGCACAATAATTAATACAAATTAATATTATAATATTATATAATTTAGTGTTTCAAGTCTGAAAAATTTCACCATATTGTGAAATATTGGATTTTTATCAATTATTTCACTATTTGGCCTTACTGCCTTACAAAGCTTCCTGTCAATTAGGAAATAGCTATAAAAAAATAGATAACAGTATTATCATTTTTTAGAAGAAAAAAAAAAGGTAAAAATTCATAGAAAATTCGAAAAAACGTAAAATGACCCTTATTTTTACACATAATTATATCATCTATTTTGAATACTGTGGTGGTTTTATCCTGTTTTGTCGACTTTTCTTTGTTTTGAGAGTTTTTACGGAGTTCCAAATTTGAAATTTACATATTTTGAAAAAAAAATACTTAAAAAAATTCTCAAATTTTGAGCAACACGAAAAATACATTTTAGATTATAAATTCAATTTTAATGACTTTCTGTTAAGCTAAAAAAAAATAATATCAATCATTTTCAAAAAGGTGAGATTGTTTTACAAAAAGAAACTGATTTTTAACAATTTTTTTTTTTTGGTGGTCGAGGAAAAAAAAAAAAATAAGATATATCAAGACAAAAACTCATTATACTTTTTATGACCATAGCCAAGATAATAATAAAAAAAATTGTGAACATTATTTTTATGTTACCGACATGCGATGTAAGTTTCACAAAATTGGCAGGGGGTCGGTCCAAATCGTTGGTTCATATTTGTCTTTTTTACCCACATATGTTTTTTCCAAATTTACAATTTTTACTGCTGGTTCAGTCTTAATTTTAATGAAAATTTTTAGTCTAAAAAAAATACATCGAGTTTACGAAAAAAAAACATTTAATTAAAGGGTATAGCGGCAGAAAAACCAGGAGAGTCCCTTTTTTTTATTCTGAGAAAACCATGTTTGAATAACCCTGAAAATGTTTTAAAATATTCAATTAAACAAAAAATGTTCAATTTTTGTTGTTAATCGTGTTTAAAAATATAGAACAAATTCGTTTTGTATCAAAACGAAATTTTTGAAAAGTGACTTGCCTGTTTTTTCCCTGAACCTTTTAATTTTACTGTACAGCAAAATTTTAACTATGAATTGGTTAAGCGTTTTACAGATTTTATATTGTTAAATCCTGCGAGAAATTTAAAATTTTAATTTTTTTTCAGAATAAGAACCAAAATACAACCATTGACAATTGTATAATATGATTTTTATCACTAAATCGCTTACTAACAAAGATATAATGGTATGCAAAACTATACTCAGGTTTTTTAAGAGTAAAAAAGTGGTTTTGTACTATTTATAGGCGAATGAAGAAAAAATATTAATAGTAACTCATTATACACTAAATTTTTTATTCTGAAATACTAATTTCTGGTCAAAACAAAATATTTCTGTGGATTGGAGCAAGTAGGGCCAATGTGAATTTTGTGCATAAACGAGTTAGTCCACTATTTTCAAAAATTGAATCATTCTTTTTATACTGTGAAAAAATCACACTCTGAGGCCAAAAAATGAATTACTCATGAAGAGTTTGATAAAAAAATTAACATAGAGCCTAATGGAAAATAATAACTTCAAAGCTCATTTTCCGAAAGTTGCAAAAAGTGACATTGGCCCTTCTTGCTCCAGGCCACAGATTTAATCTGACCAGGTTTTTCGTTCAAAATCAACTTAATTAGAGTTATTTTGTAGAATAAAAAACAAATTAAAGACAATTATTAAATTTTCTTTTTGATAAAAATATTATTATTTTTTTTTTTATTCAGAATCAATTGATGAATAATAAATAATGGAATGAAAAATAACTGAGAAATAAAAGAAACATTACAATTTTTTTAAAACATCAAACAAAAATCATACTTATAATCTTTTCCACCAATTATCAATAAAACATATTTTTGAACACAATGTTACACCCTTAACTATTTAAAATTGTCGTGTGGGCAAGGTATTAAGGGTCCAAAAATGAATTTATCAAAAATCTATTCAATAATATTGAAATACTTTAAATTATACGTATGGTTCTATTTTAATTTTTTTTTTTATGAAAAATTCTATTGAAGATTTTTTATATTGATATATAAAATATACGTAATTTATTAGCTTAATTGGCCTTGGAGATATATATAATTAATATTATTATTACTTTTGTGTGTTGTTTATCAATAACTCATTCGGATAATACGCAATGTTGCCCACTCGAGTAGAAAAAAAAAAGAAACACTCATAATTAAATATAATGAAAAGAAGAACCTCAATTTTTTTTACGTGAGTACAATGAACGGACTTTACGGTCGGCTCGTGTTGTGCACGTTTGAGAGGTGAACGAATTTAATTTGACAAAAAAAAAAAACATCCAAACTTAGGCGATTCGCTGTACGTTATTTATACTTGGACGGTGACGTACATTGTATTGACAATAATTGGGCATGCCTACCTATCGATGCAAAGTCTTAGGTCTAGGTTACACGGCGTATCGTGTAGGCAATTTTCCTACTTTCACGTGTAACGGGCTTGACCCAAACCGAATTCGATAATAATGAAATTATGTGAGCGATTCGATAATGAAATTTGTATCGATAAACAACAAACACTCGACCCTATGAAAACACAGTGGTCGGGTAAACTTAGCTTTTAGGCTGGACCGGGTTAGGTAGTGCAATGCATATGATGAATTCCCCTTTGATGGGAAACCCTTTGATATGAAAGTTAATAGGCCGGCACAATGTATAAATAATTAGCCAGCCAGCTCGTTCAGCATCAACGTGAATAAGGTAGCAAAACGAACTTGAACATTGTTGAAAACCAATTCAATTATAAATTTGGCGTGGGACAGAAAAAAAAAATATATTAAAAAACCCAGTCATTGTAAGGCCGATATCTTGCATAGAGCTTAATCTTTTAATATAGAATAATCCTATTAAAAATAAAAATAAAACAAATTACTATGTTTACAATAAGCTTTTCAGATTAAAAAGGTTTATAAAAACCATACATTTTAGGGAATTAATATAAGCTATACAAAGTTGAAACGTTTTTAATACTTTCCAAAATGTTATTAAATATTTTCGTGATATTTAAAACCGTTTTATCGGCATTTCATAAATAGGTTTTTAAGTATTAGAAAGAAATTAAAACAGTTTTCCGCCGTTTGCGATAGTATTATGCTAGCTGGAAAATCCTATTTTTCGGACAGGGTTTTAATCCCTGGTGTTGATGGTGTGCATTTATTATGTACAGCGACTGGAAATAGTTGCGTTTGACAATTTATACACTATTTTACTTTGCTGCGTTCGGCCGAATATGTCTGAAAAATACATTGTACGCCCGTGTAATATATTTCAGGAGTAGAGTGAAAGGCTAATGGCATTCACCATGTGTATTATTTGTGTGCGTGTCTCAAACTGGGTCGCATCTACCGGCAGTCTTAGAAGTGTTGATATGTTTTTGTTTTCTTTAAAAATGATCTCGGCTCAGAAGCCCAAATAAAAACACCCAAAACTCGCCATGGTTAACGCCAAGGAAACGATTGCTATAGTAAGTGCTACGTGTTGCAAAGTCGGATATTGCTTTGGTTCCCGTGGGTCAACATAATAATAATATGTTTTGTTTCCTTTAAGTACACACGGTATTAAAAAAAAAAAAAAAAACCAATAAAAATGTTTCTGCCGGTCAATAATGGCCCTATTTGTTTGGTTAACAAACTTGCGCTGCCATATTATTATCTTATAATATTATATACTCTTACAGCGAAAATGTCTTGAAAAAACACATATTTTTCGACCGTGAATAATTCAAAACATTAAAAAAAATATGTTCATTTTTTTTGTGCAGTTTCCAAACACTTTTTCGGTAAAACAATCCGTCAGTATACGGTTTGGCGGTAATTCGAAAATACCAAGAATTATTTTTTTCCTAAAAAAACTGATTTTTTTATTCAGCCGACATATTACCGTCGACCTACGTACAGTAAGTTCTGTTGTTTGTGTGTACTTTTTTTTTATTATTTGTTTGTTTGTTTCAATTAGCTCGGGAATTATACATCCTATGTGCGACTTACTGCGTCGCAGAGCGTTTTTTTTACCGATTAACGCGAAAAATAATTACACACCGGTGTAAAACAAATTTTGTTTTTCACTTTGTTTGTATTAAGTTTTATCGCAGCTCAGTTGACCTACAAACCCGTTTTCGCGTGCCTAACACGAGTGGTATACTATACAGGCAGATCCGTCCAATGCAAGACGCCAGTAAAATTTTCAAAAGCAAACTTGTTTTTACATATGTATGGAATAAAATAATGAGTGTCTTACATCAGATGGATCATCCTGTACACAATATACACATATTGTTAATTTATTCTTGACGAGCGATTGTTCATATCAGTCCGTTTATGATATAATAGTTGAATTAATTCAATATTCGCTTTGTGCCCGTGCATGCGTTGAATAGAATTACCAACAACAATGTAAGTACTCGAACTTAATGTTAATTATATATATGATGCGAGTTCCACGCTTAACAGCAACAATAGAGATACGACCGTCGAGTGTCGCACTTAAACACTATAACCGTATAACAGACATCAATACAATTTGAAAATTTCCCTCGTGTATCTTATGTGTGTATAACGTCTCGGCTAAATGTCAATGACACAATTTAACAGCGTAGACAAAAAACTATCGTCGGCACGACGAGCTCTGCTGTTAAAATAATTGTAGTGTACTTAACGACTTGTCCGTTTCAACCCTTAACGAGTACAAGGGTTGATACATAGGGGTGGGCACCAGAGACATCTACCCACTTCGCCCGTATTATTTATGTTATCATAAATAATTAATGTATTTTCATAAAGCCTTTCGCAGGATTTTCAACGAAAACTAATATATACATTTAAATAAAAAGTGTTGTCGGTTTAAAAATTGTACACGAATAATTTACTGTATGCAATAGAATTAATAATATTAAAAAATTATTATTA